AATGTAAATGCTTTTTTATTCTGCGCTATGGTCAAAAAATGTTTGAAAGCCACGATATCAGATGCCAAGAGTAAAGGCAAGAGAGGGAAAAGGAGGGGAGAGGAGGAAAGAGTAAAAAGGCAGACCCGGCTCAAAGGAAAGTGCTGGTTAAATCACCCTAACCTGGGCACCCAGCAACTGCTTTCCTTTATGCAGAGGCTGACAAAGTCATCGTGGTCTTGGATGAAAGAAATCAATCTGAGGAAACAGTATGTGAGTGCAATTGATCATTACCTTACCGTTAATAGACCAGGACATGAAAATATTCCACACATCTGGGCATCCATCCCCATGATCGTAAAAGCCTGCACTCTCAGGAATGCTTTACTCAGAAGGAATATGGTTTTTTTATGCTTCATCAATTAGCCAGCTCTGAAACATCTTCACCAAATGAGGAGGGAGCAAATTTCTAGGAACAGATGCAGCCACAGCACCTGCAAAAGCCGCCTTCTCCTCCTGTCCCCTGCACATCCCTCATACCCACTTTGTCCAGCTTTTTCTGATCGTATGCATCCTCATTCATTAGACCAGATCGAAAGTACTATCCCCTCCATTAAAATCCTCAATACCACGCGGGAAAGAGTCCAAATAATTACGAACATATAGGCAACATTTTAAAGAGACTTTCCTTCCCATGGTGCTCTTTCTTAAAATTATTCTAATCTAAGAGTTCAAGTCGGCAAAGATCTTATGCCCAGAAGATACAAGAACAAAATCTGCACCAAAAAGAAGTGGGGGGAAAAGCACATTTTGTCAACATCACAATAAAATGAAGGATCATGCTAAAGATGCACAAGGTGCAGTTTTAAACATCAGAGCATAAGCGTCCTGTCCACAAATTCTGTCCAATTTTGACTACTAAAAACTTGAGTTGGAAAAAAAGGGCTGGGGTCTTCCAGCATTAATGACCACTGAAAGGAGAGATTCCTCAAGCACAAAGAAAACTGGCTGCCTCACACTGTATTTTCATTAAGTACCTTCCAGGATTACCCTGGGTGCTGATTAAATCAATGTCTCATGAGCAGTGGAATGATTATTTTAAGTAAATTTATTCCTTCTAGGCCATCCAGATAAGTGACTATTGTGTTACTACAAAACCTCCGTTTCACCATTGACTTTAGGTCTACAGTGTACTATTGAGATATGTCTTTTATTCTCCACTAGTAGACATAATGAAGCTTAAGGCTATCAGGTATTATATACTTGAGTCCTATTAGGTACTGTTCTCTTCAAAATGCTAAAACAATAACATCTTCAAAAATGCCCAAGTTTTCAGTTCTCCAGTTTTGAGCAAAAGAAAAAAAAAAAAAAAAGAGTCATTTAGGTCACCTACATGAGTTGGGAAGCTGATCTCAAATAGGAGAATATTTTTCTGTTTGGAATCAGACACCCAAATCAGATTACATACACAAGACTTCTTTTTAAAGTGTTGAGGAGAATGTTAAGCGTAAGAGCAATTTATAACAAAAGCTAAAACAGACTTAATCTACTGTAGAGAAAGCTCAATCAGGCTGAACAAGCCCAAATAGGTCTTACGAAATGTACCCGAAAGACTGAGCTTAAAGCTCAACTTTGCCTATAAATTACATGAGTTTTTCACCTACTTAATTACTAGTAATAGAAAATACAATGAATGCCTGGCTTTAGAGCTCTGCACTTACGAGTGCTGCATGCAGCCCCATAGTAAAAGTTTAAAATGTTTCTCAAAAATGTTGCCTACATATTAATGAGTAAAGACATCTTGGAACTGTCTTCTTTAGATGTAAAAAATTATTCCAAAAAACTGAAACCATTGAAAGGGGTTCCATGCCAAAACCGGTTTGGCTCAGTGGATAGAGCGTCGGCCTGAGGACTGAAAGGTCCCAGGTTCAATTCCAGTTAAGGGAACGTACTTGGTTGCGGGCACATCCCCAGTGGTGGGGGGTGCAAGAGGCAGCTGATCGATGTTTCTAACTATTTCTCTCCCTTCCTCTCGGTAAAAAAATAAATCAATAAAATATATACATTTTTTTTTAAAAAAAAAAAAAAAAGAAAGGCATTCCAAGATTATGCGAAGCCATTTCTAAACCAATTTGGAATCAGTGGAGTTCAAAGAAGAATATTCCAGAATAAAGTCTACTCCATGGTCAGTCTCGCCTATTATATGTATACCATTGGCCCAGTGCACGGATTCGTGCACTGGTGGGATCCCTCAGCCTGGCCTGAGTACCTCTTGCAATCCAGGACTCCTGGGGAATGTTGGATAATTGGTTTTGGCCCGATTCCCACAGGCCCAAGCCAGACAGGCGGGAGCCCGATCCTGTGCATTCAGCATCTGTCCCCTGGTGGTCAGTGCATGTCATAGTGACCAGTCGACTGGTCATTCAGGCTTTTATATATAGAGAGAGATTAGTGGTCCAGTGCACTGGGAAGGGGATGTCCCCTCTCGCAGCCCAGGACCCCTCAGGAGATGTCCGCCTGCCTAAACCAGCAATCAGATACTCCCTGAAGGAGGTAGCAGTGCTGAGCGGCGTTCCCGCTGTGGGAGTGCACTGACCACCAAGGGGCAGCTCCTGCGTTGAGCATCTGCCCCCTGGTGGTCAGTGGGCATCACAGTGACCAGCTGTTCCGGTCGATCTGCTGTAATGGTCGCTTAGGCTTTTTATTTATATAGATAGTTGTCCCTAGCACTCACAGGGGGATTGTTGCAGGACCTCTGTGGATCCCAAAATTTGATGCTCAAGTTCCTTATGTAAAATGGAATATTTGCCTATAACCTCCACACATCCTCCCGTATACTTTAAATATATCTAGATTATTGAATGCTATCTAAACAGTAGTTATTCTTAGCATTGCTTAGAAACTAATAACAAAGAAAGAAAAAAAAAATCTGTGTATGCTCAGTAGAGACTCAACCATCGTAAGCCTAACTACAAGTTAACATTTCCTCCAAATATTTGCCATCCGTTGTATCTGCAGATGAAGAACCCACGGATGCAGAGAGCCAACTATATATCCTTACTGGACAAATCACTAATGGCTGTGTTCAACACAGGAGGAAGGTAAGACTTCTCCTCTCTCCTGGCAGGCTAAGTATCTTCTGCTTCTATGCAATCAGCTCTCCCAAACTGTGGGCTCCAAGGAGGTCCTGCATCTAAATCACGAACTATATTCAGTCTCCCACTTCTGAATACACGTTTTACAGCCATAGGAGTCTAGGCCCACTAAGACCTTAAGTTCCATGAAGGCAGAGACTGCCCTTGTCCATCACGATAAGCCCCTTACGCATAATCACTCAATTGCTGCTCACTGAGAAACTGCCCAGGCCTCCCAACAGAACAGAGTACTCCTGAAGCCGCCCTGAGAAGGTAACAGAAAAAGAGAAGAAACATATTCTCTACAATAAAGGTACAAAGGGCCACCCTGAGTCATTCCTCCTATTTTTCATTTGTATAAACAGTATTTTTCTTTTAATAATCCTAATGAAACATGGGCATTATAAAACAGAAACTCAAAATACTATCTTCTGTAAAAACCTCTGAATTATCTATACGTAGTGTTTAACAAAGTTTGTAACTAGCTATTCAAGTCAGTAACATTTATTGCGATCTTAAGAAGTATAAAAGAGTTTCTGTTGTTCAGATAAAAGCCTACAACCTGAGCCGCCTCTCCCTAGCACAGTGTGCTTGGGAATGACACTTAGCATATCCCAGAACATCAATTTTCTTAGGAAGGAATAATTATACCATTGGGTAGTTATATCCTCCCAACAATCAAAACTAAATAAATATAAATTACATAAATTGAGGTTAGGGGGGAAAAAAAACCCAAGAAACACCGTAATGGTTATCTCAAACACTAGTCCACTGATAATCTTGAGGGGGTGGGGAGGTAGACAAACAGATAATACAGTGAGATAGAGTATTAGAGTAAGTCCTATTAGAGAGCAACAAGGCACCAAGAAAGAAGAGGCAAGGCAATCCCCAGCCCTTAGGAGTTGAGAGCTAAGATAAGCACTATCTACACAACAGCCCATTTAATCCTCACAAACACTTTGCAAGTAGGTATTATATCATGTGACTAAGGAGGAGACTGAGGCTTAGGAAAATAAAAATCTTAACAGCTACTAAAAAGGCAGACCCTACATTTTCAAGGATATTTTCATCTGGCTGCCAACTCATTAACAACTAAACTGGAAAATAGATCATCTTTCAGATCTTAGAATGCAAAAAAATGTCCAACCTTAATATATTTTTATTTGTGTGTTGTTGTTGTTTTTTTTAATGCTTAGGAAAAAAATACTCAACCCTGTTCTCACATAAAACAGTTATTCTTGCAACTATTGTTCAGCAAGCAATTTTAACTTTGAGCAGAACATTTAGAAATAAATATACCTTAGGATGAGCAGGGAAATCACTTTGACACATTGTGGAATAATCTTTCAATGCCAATGTTCATTCTCCTTTTGCCCCTCCCCCACCACATTAAGAAAAGTCCCCCCACCCCCAACCCCCAACCCCCAAAAATTTTGCTCTCTCTCAGCTATGGGAAAGGAATGTTCACAACTGTTTTTCATTAGGATATGTGCTGCACACTTCCAATGACAGGATGACCTTGGAGAGTTTTTTCCCCCATCTCTAGTTCTCCGATTGTTCATTTGTCTATCAACCAACACATATTTATCTAAACCTCGAGACACGTAGGGAGTGTCTTCCCATTCCAGCCCCACTGGAGGAAGCTGGGAAGGAAAAGGACTTTCTGGAGTTGAACTGCTCAGGCTGTAGCATCATCCAAAGACAACATTTAAAAGACATGTTCTGGCACTTGAAAATAAAATTAAAAATACCAAGCTGTTATCTCTAAGGAAAACAACCAAAATTAACACAGCATATAGCCACGAAGCCAAGTAGAGAAACATGTGAGTCTACGGCAGGAGGCGAGGGGGCACAGTAAAAAGCACCTAGCAGAGATGCCTCACTTACGTTTTTCATCATCAGCATGCACCAGAGACGCTGCCCTTGACAAAACATCCAACGGTGTCTCCATTCCTGGTTGGAGCCTACGAGGAAAGCAGGAGAGAGAAATACAAGAATTTAAACAGAATTTGAAGGAAATTTTTGGAATTCTGGTCATTCCCCAATGGAATGATTCCCCCACAAAAATGCAAATCACTCTCCTGAAGATAAAATTCTTCCCATTCCCCATTCTGGGAAGACACTGCATAGAGTAGGTTCAGGAGCACAAGAGAAAAGGGTTAAATTCCATTCCGTCCAATGAGCTAAACCTTGCCGATTCCAGGAAGCAGCTTGTGTCAGAACTAAAAGAAGGGAGATGGTGAATATTCATGCCCATGTTAATTGTGCTTATAAATGTTTATGTGTGCGTGTAATAACACGCCTGTACAGACATACCCAGTAAAAACTGAATTTTCGAAACAAAGGCAGCTCTATGAACACAGCATTACTACCAGTCTGAGATTGTTGTTGTTGTTGTGGTGGTGGTGGTGGTGGTGGTGGCGGCGGTGGTGGTTGCTGGTTTATTAGTTTTAACAAAAATTACTAAGATTGAACCTCTTTTAGCTGAGAGAGACTCTGCATGACCATGTAACTTAATGTATGCAGTGTATTCATCACAAGTTGTAGGTGGATTCCATCGGTGAGTCAATTGGCATTTTGAGTCCAATAGGAACCTTTATTTTAAAATGTCATGTTTTGGCCCTGGCCTCGGTTGCAGGTTCAATCCCTGGCCCACAGTTGGGGTGCATGTGGGGGGCAACCAATTGATGTCTCTTTCACATTGATGTTTCTTTCTTTCTTTCCCTCTCTCTCAATGATTAACAAAAAAAAAAAAAAAAAATTGTGTACTGTAGTGCATGTACTTTCACCACCACCTATCACCAATTTATCTAGCACCTTATTTCTAAAAAATACCTTAACTACATCCCATTAAAGATGCTCAGCACTTAGTCAGCATTCTTCAGCATTTACTGAGAACCTACTATGTATGTGCAGCTACAAGATGTAGTGAAGCAGCTTTTCTTTATAATATTTATACTTCAAGCATCCAAAGAAAGAGCAACTCTTAATCTTGCAATGTGATTTCACTCAGTAAACATTAAATATCTACCAGGTGCTGAGGCAGGAAAAATGAACACAGCCCAGTGGGTGCCTTCAAAGAGCTTTCAATCTGTTTAGAAGACATGCCTACAAGAAAGCTAGTTTAAGGCAGTATTTTTCCAAAGTGTTGTGCACTGGATGTTCACATAATATACGGGGGGGGGGGGAAATTCTATGATAAATAAGTTTCAGAAACACTGGAATAAGCCAAATTAAGCCACTTTTTTTCCTTCCTGTGCTTTTGATATGCTTCTTGCTATGCCTTACACAAGGGGCAAAGACAGTGTGGATGGCAGCTCTATGTACTCGGAATCTCTCAAACCTCTGGCCATTCTTTTAACCTCAAGCATCTCTTAGACAATACTTAGGGAAATAATGGATTAAGGCAAAATGTGCTCTGTGTCAAACAGCCCTACAAACTAAGTCCCAAAGAAACAGATGAACTCTGAAGGGCTTCAATGAGAAACAGCCTGAGCCAAGCCTCTGAGGAACATTGATGGGAGCACTCCAGAAAGGAAGAACATAAGCAGAATCCAGTTAAGAACACGTTGCCCAAATCAGCTAGAAAAACAAACTGGGGATAGGAGGTAAGAGACCAGGATGCAACCATATCCTAAAAGGATTGATAGCTTTGACAGGTTTTGGGCTTGACTTCTGCATGCATTACGGAGCCATTGAAATCTCAGAGCAGAGATATAATTTGCTCATCTAAATGTTCTGTGCAAATCATTCTGGTAGCACCATGCAGAATGGAACAGAGCCATTCTAGAGAAAGGAAAGCCAAAGGCAGGGTGGGTGATCTGAAAGTGCAGCTCTGTGGTCCCACCGGTGTGGTTCAGTGGTTGAGTATTGACCTAGGAACCAAGAGGTCACGGCACATGCCTGTGTGCCTGGGCTGTGGGCTCAATCCCCAGTAGGGGGTGTGCAGGAGGCAACCAATGGATGATTCCTCTCTCTTGATGTTTCTATCTCTATCCCCCTCCCTTCTTCTCTCTCTAAAAAAATTAACAAAAACATATTTTAAAGAAAAAAAAGATACAACTCTTTAAAAACATATTTAAAAGAAAAAAAAAAGAGCCATGCAGAAGGCAATGGGTCATTCTCATGGGAGCAGTGGGGATGAGGCAGCAGAACTGACAGGTTGCAAAGTTGTGAGGGGAGATAAGGTGAGGGAAGATTAACTGGGAGGGTCATAAACCAGTCAATTTCTTCCTTTTTAGAGACAAGGAAGGATGAGCAAAATCAGCCGTAAAAGGAGTGATACAGTCCTGATCTTCTGAGTAAGATAGGAAAAATCACCTCCTATGAGTAAGAATTTGTAAACTTGTTCAAAAGGGGAGAAAACAAACAAAGGTTTGAAAGCAGCAGATGGACAGGAAAAGGTCTGCTGAACTCCCAAGAACTCGGTTAACATTCTTCTTACCTAAGCCAGCTTCCTATTCAGGCAAGATTTGAGTTTAAAGTCTCTTATTTTTATTTAAGTAAATAATCATAAGCATTCTACTCCTTAATGCAGTATTTAGACCCCAATTCTTTAATTTCTCCATTAAGTTTAAGGACAACACTTACAAAATACCAAATCCAAATAGATACATAGTGACATATGCCTTAAATATATGTACAGATGTGTTATGCATAGAAGCAAAATAACAAAGTATAAAAATATCAAATGATATACAGAAGGAGACCCAGAATTCTAGCAGTGCAGAAGATTAGATATTGAAGTTTGTTCAGAATCTATGAAATCTAAACCTCTAAGCAACTTACGTTCAAAGTAGGTAGCAGATAAGAAATTAGGTATTTGAGGTTCAACTGCAAGGCACCTGCCATCTGCTGCAACCTCATTAATGAAACCAACCGATTTTTATTACACAATTATTCTGAGTTCAGCCAAGTATTCAAGACAGGTTGAAGAGAATATATGGTCCCTGCTTTTAAGGAGTCACAATCTTGCTTGTAAACCTAAAGGATGTGAAAGCGGTTAACAACAGACAAATGTAAAAAGGCATGACAAAAGTTTAAATATAATTTATAACCAAAAATGTGTATTGTGTAATAAAATAGAGATGAGTGTCAATTAAGTGGTTATCTTGTAAACATCTATTCTTAGGTGGTGTGTATGTATACCTGTGTGTGTGTATATGTGTGTGTGTACCTGTGTGTTTCAAAAAGCCACATTTGTTTCCTTCCCCAGTTTTAGCATATGCCTTAAGTGTGTTAGCATCATAGAAGATGGGATATTTAAGTTTATTCAGAATCTATAAAATCTAAACTCCTCTCTGACCTGTGGATCACACTGTATTTCCTGGGTGCAAGGAAGTACTGCAACAAGGATCAACAGCCTGAGGAAAGGCACAGAGGCAGGAATGAGAGGCTGGGACTAGGAGACACACTAGCCAGTGAAAACAGAACATCCTTGTTAAGAAGCAGAAGAAGCTAAGTTTGGGTGAGCACGGTGTGGACTTAGGAAGGAGCTGAAGGCTACCCAGACAGGTCCACGCTTAATGTCACAGGCAACAGGCAGGCTGGTCCCTGAGCAGGCTGGTAATATGATGTCAAAGACATTTCAGTTTAGCAGTTCTGGGAGGATGATTTTACTTGAGGTAGTGAAGTGGGGAGTCACTGGAAGCAGATCAGTTAGGAGGCTTCTGTGGGAACCAGGTGTGCGATAAGGACAATAGGGCTGGTAATAATACAATAAAACAGGTGGGAGATGAAGACCAGGGACTAGGCATTATCTAGCCACAAAAGTCATAAGCAAATAAAGGTGGAAGATAACAGTAATTTGTTTAAAGTCTTCTGAATTTTTATGTCTTGTACAATATCACAGCCCAACAAACCCAATAAAATAGAAAGCCCTGGCCAGTGTGGCTCAATGGATGGAGTGTCAGACTGCAGACTGAAGGGTCCCGGGTTTGATTCTGGTCAAGGGCACATGCGGGCTCAATCCCCAGTATGGGGTGTGCAGGAGGCAGCTGATCAATGATTCGCTCTCATCTCTGATGTTTCTCTCTCCCTGCCTCTCTGAAATCAATAAAAATATGTTTTTAAAAATGTGTGTGTGTGTATACACATTTTTAAATTACTAATACATATGTGTGTGTGTGTGTGTGTGTGTGTATGTGTGTGTGTGTGAATTAGTAATGTGGCAGAAAAAAAAACTATGGTTACAGTATTTGATGGAAGGTCACACTATATTGAGAGGCAAATTAGCATCATGGCCAGGTAAGAGGATGATCTTTGGATGCCAATCTGAGTTTAAATGAGCTCAGCCTCTCTCTGTCTATGTGACCCTGAGAAGTAACTTTACCTCAGTTTCCTCAACTATTAAATGGAGATATTAATATTACCTCCCTCATGTGTTAGGGTTGTTATGAGAAGTGAATGGGCTTTATCTGTATTAAAATTACTTGTCAAAATATACGCAAATATAGTAAATAAATTCCTAAATGTCAGTAAATGTATTTTTAAAAAGACAGGGCACTGGCCACTACTTTAGAGTAATCTGGGAAGATTTCTCTGAGGAGATGAATGAAAGCTGAAACCTAAAGGATGCGAAGGATTAACATTATTAAGGGGGTAAGGAGGAGGACAAATAACATTTTGGGGGGGGAAAATCCAAAACAGGCCAAAGCTAGACATATAGATATGGAGGAGTGCTGTGACCTGACCACAGTTCAGGGAGCCGGGGGAGAAGACAGGAGGTGAGGTCGGAAAGTGGGCAAAAGCCCGATCATGCATACGCTGTAAAGCACAATAAAGCTGAGACGGTATTCTAAGCCGGTGAGAAGCCCTTGAATGGTTTGGATAGTTGTAAGCAGGAAGGTGACGTTTATGTTTATTTTAGATCCTTTATGAACCATAAATCATCCACTACCTTTTGCAAAAAGATTATGCAACATCCGGAAAATAAATCTAAGTATACATCCC